TATATATATATATATAATCTACAGATAACATAGAAAGTTGGACATATCTTCTATCAAATCGAGAAAGTCCCGTACGACTTGCAGCCCTTAAATTGCTTGTCAACGTTTGCAAATATAGTGAAGAACCGAATATCATATTTTTTTTGAAAAGCTCTTTTATTAACTTGCTTTTAACGATAGAACCTCAGCATTCAGAAGAAGTAAGTCTATTTTTTGTTGCATTATTGTTATTGACCGTTCCTACCGACCTTAATTGTTTGAAATATATTTCAATATCTATATGTTTATTATTATTTACTTCTTATTTTAAATGATGAAACTGAAATAATTTATTGGTATGTTTGTAGTCGTGTTCGTCGATATTTTCAGTTTTATCGCCTTTTGACTGCTTTCTTATGTGATAGTACATGCCCTCGCTCAACCATTGATGCAGTTGTGAGAATTGTCCTAAATATGACAATTCCGAACTCTTGTGCTCTTCACATGTTGCAGTTCTTAGTTGCAATTGCTGAAGCTCATTCTCATCTTTATCATCTTATTTGTTCGTGGTCTGTGTTAAAGCTCAAGGAAAATACAAATTTGACCAGATTCACAGTAAGTGTTAATTATTTTGGTGTCATATTGACAAGTAGTGTTACAAAGGTTCTTGTTCTTAGAAGTTTCAGTTTTACAAGCTTAATTTAACCAAAAGTGGTACAATAATATTTCAGCTTTTTTCGTGTTTGGTATATGCTCCATTGAGTAACATAGCTATTCTTCCCAAAAATCATTTGGATATTTGGGGGGATGATCCGTGGTTAAAGTATCTTGTTGCGCGGTCAGCTATGCGAACTGGGCATTTGAAGCTTGCAGCTCTTCCTTTGCTAAATGCAATTTATGACAAAGTTAGGAATACTATTATGGAATTTAATGTTGGGATTATTTTTAGAAATCATATGTCTCAGTAATTGATTTTTATACCACTGCCTGATTTTCAATTTTGTTTTGCTCTATTTGCAAGTTGTTTCTCTGCTTTTAAAATTCGTGATATTTTTAATGATGATTTAGGCAAAGTCGTTCAAAACCAGAATATGGCTAAATGCTTTGCGATATATTTGTAATTCCGCACCTTCTGAATTCACAGTTCAAGCTTTTGAATGTTCTGTCGAAAATTTGAACAATGCTCGTCTATCACTTTCGGTGCGTCCAAACTGTTATATAATGACTGTGAGCTTGAAATTTTGAACATTTTTATGATTTAGGTCATTCTATTCGTATGAGCTATCAAATGTTTCAGTCCTTGTGCTCTTCACGAAATCTTCGACATTATTTCATTTTTGGGCTACGTTTTGTGGAATGCTTAAGCAGCATGTATGCGACTCTGCACGCTTTCTTAATTGTTTTAAATACAAACTTATCACTTGCTGGTGATTTAACTTCCTTCGCCTTGAGAAAGACTACTTTCCACTTACGTGCTTGTGCATTAAGTAAGTCAATTACTTTCACCTCCACTTTTCATTTTCCCGCATATTTAAGGCATGTCCATTCAATTATTTCATATAATGCTCTTTATTTGTCTAATAACGTAATTGCTTTAGAAATGGAAGTATGTCGCGGTAAGTGGTTGGACTTGTACAAACGGTGTTTTGATGCCGATAATAATACTCTTACTTTTTTGGAGCTGTATAGTATAATGTGTTCGGTGTTTAGTTCTGGCATTCAAATGCTTACAGAGCAACAGCCATTGTCGTTAGTACCTTAATTTTATTTTATTTCAGTCTGGAATATTTTAACCGAGCTTCTGATGAACGTTTTTTCAGTTATTTTCAATTTTGTAAATATATCTACAACTATATATTCTATTATATCAGTTTTTCTAACCTTAAATGAATCCTTGCACTAGATTTTCGGCATTAAGTTACATTTAATTTTATGTATATATGTTTTATTTTCATGCATCATAACTGATGTTTTTGCGTTTCTCTAAAGTTTCCTAGCATATTTTTTTCCAAGTTTTCGAAATTTCATTTATTCTTTACTTTTAAATAGTATTTCCTATTAGTTAACTAATTTTCCTGTCATTTACACAAATTTTAGAGTATTAACTTGTTATTCATTAGCTTTATATCAGTCTGTGAATTGAGAGTTTCACTACTAAGTGAAACAAACAGAAAATTTAATTTTTTCAAGCGGAAATGGGGAAAGTATAGCTTTATTCATTTCTCAGCGTGCTTCATTCTTCATTTTTATATTTTTTATTTTCAGCCCTTTGATAGTATCTGTTTCCTCGCACTATTCATTGGCAAACAGACATTTACGATCATTACTTTTATGGGCCAAAGTAGAAATTGGAAAAATGGATGTTATACCTGTAGAAAAAAGATTGACGAAAAAGGTTCCTTTCATTCGAGAATAGTGATATTTATCTGCTTTATTATTTTTCATTCCAAAATATCGTATTTCAAACCTTTCCAAACTTGAAGTTTCTATTGATAACTCAACAGATTGATCTAATTTCAGAACTTGGAGCTAGTTGTTGATGTATTTAAAAATCTTTCTGGTCTACCGATATGTGTTCCGCGATTTTTTTTCCAGCAACTTAAGTACACTCAAATAAAAGTATTTTTCAAATATTTTAATGTGTTTGTTTTATTCTGGAACTTAGAAAATTAGACTGTCATGTGCAGAATCAGTGTTGTTAAAAGAGTTAGATATCAGTAAAATTTTCAATCATATTTAAGCTGAATGTTCTCCCGCAGCCTGAACTAATGGAGAAAGCTATTAATGTTTCATCCAATCATAAAGTACCGATATTAGTTGAAGGAGCCATTGAATCTACGCATATGTCTTCTGTATATGCTGTAACTGTGGAAGCCGTTGCGAGATTCTCATCAGACTCAAATGTGAATTATTTTTTAGATGTTTGATTTTCAATTCGCGCCAGTTTTTTTTTGTTGAAAGAAATGAGAATATAAACGAAAAAATATTTTAAGTTCTTTTTGTACTTCCTTTGAGTACTGTTTTCCATATATTCAGAAGGATTACTTGGAATCTCGAACTGTCACACCAAGTGAAGGAAAATTTTTCAGTGCTCAATTTCTTTTATCATTTCCAGAGGTAAATAATTTTTTAGTGTTACGATATCGATTTTTCTGTTATTATTTATTGCATTATTTATACTGGTGATTTTTCTTCCAAATTTTAATTCTAGATTATTTTTAGAGCTGTACAATGGAGTTTTTTGTAACTTTTGTGGATCAGAAGACGAGGAGGCAGTGGCAAAGTGACGTGACTGCAGAATTGAAAATTTTTGTTTCATCTTAATTCTGTTTTCTTACCATGTTTTAATTATAATCTAGAATTAAAATTTGGAATTACAAAGAGATACTATCTGATTATTTATTATCAACAATCAAATAGTATCTCCCTAACTTATCTTTTTGTGTACTTATCACAGTTCTTCTTGTCGTAAGTTTTGTATTTTCGGAACAAAACATATTGGATTTCTTGTTTATGACACGCTTGGAAACTTCACGGAATTATCAACGAAACAAGCAGTATTAGAGATTTAGAAGTTTATGTTATGAGGTTAGTTCATTAAATAATCATTTGCGTTTGGATCTGCCTATAATTCATGAGTATTTACAGTATCTTAGCAATGAAATCATTCAAAAAAAAATGATGAAAATATCGCAGTTTGACTAACAAGTTTAAGCAAAGAATGAAATGCCGAGGTATGCTGTCAATAAAGACATAGATTTGAATACGCCTGAAAATTTATTTTTACCCATCACAAGTGAGCTTTATAATTTAGGTTTTGTGTAGAGGTTTTTGTTTCTCAGATATTGGGAATGCGAAACTGCTTTATAGTTTTTGAGTTTTCGTTGTTTTCTGAGTTGTCTTTGATATTTCGGAATGAAAGAAATGTGGTATTGTAAATATGAAACAAAAGATCTGTTCTTCGTATTAGCGGTACTTGTAGAAAGGGAATTTTCATATGTATTGCAGAAGACGTATTACGTCAATGTATCCAGTTCTTCGAACAGTAGGTATGCAAACTTGAATTATCAATGTTGTACGGTATATAGTTTTGGACATGTGACATATAATCATTTGCCTATGTATCTGTAGTGGTAGCCCTTGTCTCGATCACATTTTTTCAAGTAATGCATCGTAGAAAAAGGTTTAATCCTTCACTAAAAGAAATGGAAGGTATTTTATGTTTTTTTAACATTAGACATAATGAAATTCCTACTGTTTATTGTTCACTCCTGCGAGCTACCAATATTTAAGGTACGGAATGAGGTGTCATTCGTTCAGAAAAGGTAGAGAATGATAAAGTATGATCCGCACATCCTTTTCATCGCATCTGACTCCGTAAGTAAATTCTACAATCCTGATGATGGCGACATTCTTGTACTACTATAATGGTACGAAATGAGATTTGTTTCAAACTTGTACTTCATATTTTTTGGCTTTCAAATCTGTTTTCGGTAGAATTCTTAAGCATTATAAATTATTTTCCGAGCTCAAGAAAGTTTCTACGGCCAGAATTACTGCTGTTCATTCATTAGCCTCAGTGTCCACTGATGCAAGTTCTCGATTTCCAAACGTGGCTTTTGCTCTCTGCAAAAAATGTTTGCAGCAACTAATCAAACATTATCTGGAAATACAGCTTCAGCAGTCTACGCCCAAGCCAATCTCAGTTTCTTTGTAATTGTTTATTCACCATAAGTGTCAAATACGACAGACAAGTGGACAGGCTCAAACTTCTTACAACCAGTAACTTCCGCCTCTTGAAATCTGTCTCGTCTATACCCTTCCTATCAGTTCACTGTACAAGAAGCTCCAGAAATACAGAACCACTTATAACCTGGTACCACGACATACCTTTCTGTCATAGCTTGACTGCACTTTCGCTTAAAGCAGACCTATTGCAAGATGTCATCCGCGTTGTTTCACAATGATTTAGAAAGATTTATTAATGATCAATTAAATATCCATTTACCTCATAAGTGCAGCATTAAATGTCATATCATTTTTAAATCTGAAAATATGAAAAAATATAGTCAAAATAGAGTCATTAATACAAAAATCAGTTGCCAAGAATAAGTCCACACACAAAAAATCAACATCGTGGAAATCAAAATTGCCAAAAATAAGTCTACACACAAAAAGTCAACATCGT